AGCCAGTGTGACAAGCTTCTGGAGATTGAACAGCACACACCTTCCCCTCTGGATCCAGGAAGCAATGCTCAAAGTGAGGACCAGAGCTCCCCAAAGTGAGGACTGTGAGGACCACAGCCATTCTCAGCAACAAGGTCCCGAGCTCCTCCAATATCTGAGTTCATATCAGAGGAGCCAGCATGCCAAGCTCCTCCTGGAGACCCCACAGCAACAGGAGAACCAACAACACCCGAGAGAATGAACTACACCACCTCTTCCTCTCCAGGTCTCCTTTTTATGCTGGTGAAAGTCCTCAACGCTCAGCACCACGATGATTCAGTTCAGCTGGGTGTTACAAGGTGACCACCAATTACCAATCCACGAAGCATACTTTCTTCAGGCTTTGAAAATAATCTCTCCAGACCCAAAGGTTTACTCTAAACCTCCATTAATTTATAAAATTTCATCTTGTGTTGGAATACTATTTACAAGTTAATATTGAATAATCAGTGATGTATAATTACTTTCACATTCATAGTTGATTAACCAGTGTGGATCTCTTTAGAACAGGTACCTGCCACATGTGAACTGAATGTGCCCAGCCCCCTGGAAGAGACAACTCTGGTCAAATCGCCACAGGAAACATGATTGGCATCCATTAGTGCTGATGAAAAGGTGTCGGAGGAACCCCAGAAGAGACTGACGCAGGCTGAGGGTGAAAGAGACCAAAGTAGAGGCTGCACCCGAGGTCTGGTGACAGCACAATGACATGACGAGGCACCCAAAGGTGGCACAGGGCCCAGGGAGGTTTGGCCCTCACCACAGCAATGCAGTGCAGCGGGGAGGGAGCAGGTTCAAGGGCCAGGGCCCAGGACGGGGGAGGCCAGGAGCGTCCTACTCACCCCATAGAGGTCTTGGCAGCCACCTGGGCCCAGCCCCACCCATCCTGCGCCCACACTGGTTCCTGGATCACCACACAGTGCAGGGCATCGTCGGCCTCGAAGTCCAGTCTTCTGGAACAGAACCAAAATAACACCCTTTTCCCTACAAAGGACACAGGGGAGCCCAGCAGAGGGTCCCAGCCCTGCAACCCCACAGACCACACACCAAAGCCTCTGTCCCAAGGACACAAAGCCTTTGGTAATGTCACAGTACAGGGGACATGGCCAGCAGAGAACGCGGGAGGAGGGTCCACACAAAGGCCACGGATGCTCCCTGGTGACCGCCTCCTGCCCACCATGAGACAGAGCCGCCGACAACCCTCAACTTCTAGAGTAGTTAACTGTGAACTAAGATGTCGCCAAGCAATTAAAATCTAAAATGAGTAAAGATATAAAGGTGAGGAAATTAACTATTGTCATGCTGGAATGTATGTAATGTTTAAAGCTACCAGGAGGGGAAAGTGCTTACTAAACAAAGATGATGTTGATGATGAAGACAGACACTCAGTAGTGTTTTATTATTATTTTCTTCCTACTGTGTCCATTAACTTATAGCCCACGAACTTTATAGTAGACAGCTGTTGTAAGAGGATGATTCATTGCTAGAAGATACCTCATAGATCTCTGCTACCAAGAATCAAAAAACATCAGAGAAAATCCAGAGCTACAGGGTTTCATAGCCAGGGTTTCACAGCCAGGGCTTCAAGGAACCCAAGTGAATCCTCCCCGAAGGTGACAAGGGCTTTCTTAGAGGTGTCAGAGAACCTCTCCACACACTCCCTGGTACAAAAAAAGGAAGAAAATGGATTTTTAGACCGTAAAACATAAAGTTATCACTTGCTTTCTTATATGAGAAACCCAAAATATAAATGGTTCTGAAAATGCATACTAATAAAAATAAATAATAACTAACCTCCTCCAAAGAAAGCCAGATGATCGATGAGACATTCTTCCATCTGCAGCACTGTCTGTGGTGCTGAAAAGCAGGTGGCTGCTAGAATAGCCCTGTGCTAGAGTCCATTTTCTCTGCATCACACCTCCAGCTCCACACAGAGGTAAAATAGCCTTGGGCCAAAGTGTGGTACGAAGGCAGAACAGCCTAAAAAGATGTGTGTCCTTGGCAACTTAATCATGAAACCCAAGACGCACTAATTTAAGTTAAATTTTTTCTACACTTCAGCATCAAGATACTTTGACTCCAGCTGACCACAAAATTGACATTGCTTTAGGTCACCCAAAATGATTATGCAGATGAGAGATGTTCCTCACAAAGCAGTGCAAAGAATGAACAGCACTGCTGCTCACGCCTCAGCAAGTGGAACTGTGGCACCACCATGGCTGCAGATGGCCCTTTTGGGTGCCACGCTGCCACGAGACTGACAAGCGAGACCCACAAGCACGCAGGGAAGCTGTGCCATGGGAGCCTGACGTTTCCAGGCCAGGCTTGCGGGTAATGGCATGACCCAAAGCTAGGTCTCAGCAGTAAAACCACTGCCTCCTCCATTTCTGCATCTACACAGTGGAAATGCTAAGGGTACCTTCCTTATAAGGTTTCAGCATTAGGACCACCTGAGATAAATGTGAGCACCTAACGCAATCATTGGCGTGATAAAAGCTGTTTATATAATTTTCTGTATGCATCATACAATTCATTCAACAAAATGCCTATTTTTATATTTTACTTTAGTATCAACCAGAATTCTACTCAACAAGCCTACCATAGTTCAGCACCTTGCCATTCTTTGCATGGAGATGACTGATGGATTTAGGTGCACGCAATGCCTCCGAGTCATAAGTCCTGCTGGATTAATGAGGCCTGGATGGCTAAGAGGATGTAAAGACCTAAAACAAATACCAAGATACCAGAAGAACCAGCACACCTTTTAGAAATCCTTAAAGGGGAAGAAACAGAAACCAATACTGGTGCTTTCAAGCAACAAGGGACTTTACTGGAAGGATACTAGGAGTTGTGGCTGGCATGACCTTTGCAACCGTCTGAAAGGTTTCACCAGGAGTTTGCCAGTTCAAAAAAAATAAATAAATAAAGAGAGCAACCCATACGTGACTTAGTCTCAAAAATCCAGATTCACATTTCATCAGCGCAAAGTGGACTCTGCCTTTTAAGAAATTAGCTTCAAAAGCTATGTAGACGACCAGGTTTATCTGAACCAATTCAGACATCATACAAATAGCAGCAGGTCGAACTTTAATTAATCACACAAGATAGTTGTTGGGAAATTCATTTCACGGGCTGTTTTCTTTTACCACGGAATGCTCACAATCCGCCCAGCCTCCTGTGTTTTCTGTGGGGTTAGCTCCCTGTGGGTGCTGTGGTAACTCTGCATGGTTTGGTGACCAGCACCACAGCAGCTGCTGCTCTGGAGTCAGCGACGGCCTCTGGCTCTGGATGGGCCATGTTCTCTGGGCAGTGTAGGGACATTGAGCTCCTTGCTGTCCAAGTGCCAGCTGCAGGCCCCTGGCTTCTGTCCTTGAAAGACACGCCACAGCATGAGGGCCCACTCGGACAATGCAGGGAAGGAGCTTCCCCCTTGCTCAAGACCTTCAGGATAATGATGTCTGCAAAGTGAAGGAAAAAGGAAAGAAGCGATAGCTCAGGGAACAATGAAGATTGAAAATATAAATCCATTTGCAGCTGAGGGGAAGATACTGAAAATAGGAAGGAAACTACTGAAAATACTGGCTGGAGTGGAGACAATATGAAGAAATCCTTGTTTTCCACACACAGGGAAAGGGATTTGAATCAGGAAAAGGAGCCAGGCCTGACCGCTAAGGATGAAGTTCATGTTTTCAGACAACACACTGTGTGTTTTTGAAACACACAGCAGAACACTCAGACACAAACATCAGTTTAGCAAGCAGGTAGTAGCAGTACTTCATGTGAATACATCTACCTCCTAAAAGTGAACTTAAAACCTACATTTGAAAGCACGCACTCGTTCTGCTAACTGCGTTCCCCTTCCAGGCTTCCGGTGAGGAAGGCGTGGGGAAGCTGCATGTTAGTTAAAAGCACAGGGAGCTCAAATGCCATGAACGTCATGGATTCCACAAGCAATGATAGCTTGTATATTTACGTGGAGATGATTTTCAGCTTCTAAGTGACTCCCAAATTGATGAAATCATCTGCCTGGAGATGCTCCGAGTCCCTTGTGTTTGACACTGCAGTGCAGTCACACCCAGGTCACTGAGAGTCATCAGCACTGGTTCTCCACACATCTCCATCCCAGCTGCAACCAAACACAAGCAGGTGAGCCTCCCTGCGCCCCCCTCAGATGTGTCGTCTTCCTCTAGGACCCCACTGTACCTGCCGTTACGGGGCACACTGTAACTACGAGCTTGAACTGCAATCACTAATACTTGGGGATATCAACCTCAATCAATGCTACTTTAACAAGGCTAAAAACCAGAATTATTTTAAAAGAAAAGCTTAACAATGACACGGCCCTATCACAGTTAGGAGTGTCCTTAAGTTCCCTGTGTAAAGGCAGGAGACTTAGCTGGACCCCGTGGGACCTGCTCCACAGCTGCCATGGACAGAGCTGTGCCCACTCATTCACGGCTGGCCCTGGACCCAGACCTCTCCCCCCAAGAAGCCGATTTCTCACTGATACACTGTCTGAAAGACTTCTTGTAGTATTGAAGATGTGACCTCAAAAATAAGCATAAACAAAGTAAAGTAAGTATTTTAAGATCATTTTAAGACCAATTTTAGTAGTTATTATATTGTGAAATCACAATTACCTGTCAGATGAAACACATTTAATGTTCACTGAATGATTTGAAGCAGGACATTTCTTATATTTATACATGAAGAAACATTACCATCTTTCAAGAAAACATTCTTTGAAATAAGCTGATAGGCTTTAGAAAACTGATAAAATGCAAAACATCAAGGCTAAGTGTGTGAATCATTTCAGGACGGCAATAAATGAACACAGAACCAGTTGAGGTGAAACAAACTGAACACTGACTATACTTTTTCCAAACATTTTCATGGGCCAATGTAATTGTTTACATTCAGACACAGAAATCAAACATACAACACAAAACTCACATTAGAGCTTTTAGTTTTAAAAGAATTTATTAAAACAGATACAGGATACATTTTTTAAAATAAAAGTACAAAAAAATTCTGGAAGGATTGTCAGCAAAAATGTAATCAATGAGGTGATTTTCCTGTATTTGTTATTCTAATCCTGTTGCTGTGTAATTTTTTAAAACCTTACACGTTCTTTCTGCATTCCTCTTTTCCACCAATTTTATCAGTACAGAGTTATCTAGGGTCCTGGGCAATTGCTGACAATAATCTTACTTCCTGGGTTTGTTTTAAAACTATCCTTAAACCTCTAAATAATTTTTGTTAAAAACATTTCCCAGAGTTAAAATGTGACCTTTGACAAACTTTAGGGTGAAAACCATGCACAAAAAACCAACTGTTTTATAATAAGGTCTTCAAGTTAAACAGTGAATATGCAGCATAAGACAACCTACAGCTCTTTTCAATTTCCTGGTTTGATAAGAGCTATTGAATTCCTTTTTTAAGGTGTATATGTGTATGTTTTTAACTTGTCAATTCCACATCAATGAAAATAACTCAGATTTGTAGTTATTGGGGAAGTCTGAAAATTCTGATAATTGTGGAGCTGAATTTTATTTTACCATTATCTAACAAAAAGGAAATAGCATTGTACGATTTCAAATGTTTAACCTGTTAAAAATGCAAATACATTTCAATCAAGAGCATACTATCTTAAAAAAATAGTACTGCTATCTAGTCATAGGAGTTTCTCAAATTTTTTTTGCAGTCCCTACATGTTCAGAGTAACTGTTAACATTTCACATACTACAGTCCATGAAGAGTATATTCTCTTACTGGTTTTCACACATTTTGTTTTGATTTTCAATAAAATTCAATAAATTTGATTCCCTAATCATAGAAACTTGCTGTACACACTACTTACATGTTGCCAGTCTACAACCTTATAAAATATCACAAAGATCTGAGTCTAGGCATGGTTCTATCCCACAGGAGGAGCTGATTAACATACATTCGAAGATTATACACAGTGTATTTGGCACTGTTAATATTAAACATCTTCAGCCAGAATTTGCTGTTCGTATCAAAATCAGCCTTTCATCTTTACAACAGTAACCCATTAGTTAAAAAGAAGTGAAACGCCTAGAACTGAGAATGGAATTCAGATCCTCCCTTCCTGCTCTGCTCCACACTGCCGTGCAGGTAGTGGGCTGGATTTGGTTTATCCGTTGTGGGGAGAATCAGAAGAAACAATTTAAATACAACACCTTCGATATACATAAACAACTGACTCTGAGGAGCACAAAGGGAGCCCCGACAATGGAGAAATTGGGAGGGTCTTGCCAGAATTCCAGAACGAGCAATGCTGTTCAAACCATAGACTGCACTAGCAGGCGCACTTCAGGAGAAGGTTTTAGAAAGGCTTGTGTGAACTTGTCTGAGACAGACTGAGAACATGGACTACAGCTGTTTTGACATACACTACTATGAAAGAGAAGAAAAATTAAAAAATCATACTAAATCCTGTGGAGATCTGGACTATATCCCAGTAAGAAATTTATTTAGCTTCATTTTAACAAACATTTAAATCCATACTTCAATTGGGTCCATTAAATTTAATTTGCTAAAGCTGTACACACTGCAAAATTTTTATAAATGACATTTTCATTACCTATTGTGTTTATAAAAGGGTTAAAGTAAAATACTCAACAGGACATGAATCACAGTACAAAGTAACAGAAATAGGACATTTCTAACAGTTTAGAGATGCTGTCGCATCACATATAACTTGGAAATAAATTAAGACTTAAAAAAATACAAAAAAAAAAAAAACTATGAAGTGCAAAGTGATGTCACTGGACCAAAATTTAGTTTAATCGTTTTTATTTCAAGGGTATTTTTAAAATCATAAATGGGGTTTTTTAATCCAAAGACAAAACACTTATTCTTTACTACTTTAGAATCTGAGGAGCAACTCCAAATCGTGCTTTCCAAATCCAGTCTTCTCTTCTGAGCCCTAGTGTGTGGGCCACTATACTCAGTGCACAGTTTTAGCTGACCACTAGGGATCTGGAGTAAGACAGTAACCCAAAAACTGTCCTCAAATATGAAGAATGCTGCTGTCCCAGGTTGCCCATGAATATACTAACACCCTCCAAGGAGTAGTGTATTCATTTTAAACTAATAGAATCAGTGCTATTCTCTTTCACAAGAGACAGCCTATAAGATTCAATTATTTCTGTAGATTTTGATAATATTTTATTTTCCACACAGGCCTCAATCCTTAATCGTTCACACAATGTCACCAATCAGGCTTGAGGAATAAAGCCCACGTGTTATACCAAAGAGGTACAAGTTACTTTTGAGGGACAGTGCTGCTCTGTCTTCTAAATGCTCACAACAGTTTGTGGAAATAGGTTACTAACTTTGGGTGCTACACAGCACACTGCTTACCCACAAACAAATCAAGGTTTTCCCAGAAGGAAAATTCCACTTTTACTTTTATGATACCTTATTCATTTTTGTTTTTGCTGCCTAATGCAATGTTTAAGTTTTTACACCTTTGCATCTTCATACAAGTTCTTTTTCAAATGTTCTTCACAACAGGAGCAAAGACTCCAGAGACACAGACGCTCCACTCCATGCCATGTCACCCTGCCCAGCTGCGGTGAAGTCCAGGACGAGTGTGGATGGATGTGTGGACCTGGCACACCTGGCCCTGCTTCTTGGAAGCCCCCTCACATCAAGGGGTGCTGTTTACTGCATCCAATGCTATTCTTGGAAATTAAAGTTTGGTCACCAGGAAAGACTGAACAAAATGAGTCCCTTCCCCCAAACAACCACTGAAACTGCTGACCCACTCCTCCACTCCCCTCAAAACAGGGAAGTGGCAAGGCCTGAAGACTTCACAGCCGAAACCGCCGCTCCTGAAAGATGGCTGCGGTTCATTCCACGCTCCAACACTTCCCCCATTTATAAGTTCACTGACACACAGACACACGCACACACTCTCTCACTCACACATCTCAAGTAAGACACTTTTTCATGTTTGCTGATAAATTAGGAATACGAACAGGTGGATACAGGGTTCGCAGGTATCTGTAAACATCAGAGTCCCAGGGTCCTCTTCTCCCCCAGCCCCAAGGAGCAGCAGGGATCTACTTCCCCAGGCGCTGCTCGCAGGCTGCATACTGGCGGAGGGCAGAGAAAAAGTCCTCGTAACTGATGTTTAGGTGGGAAGGCAAAGAGCTGAAAAGGAAGCACAGGGGAAACCATCAGAGGCTCACTGTGACATGGTAGGAAGCAGAGAACAGTGACAAGGAGGGGCAAAGTGTGACCGCAATGTCCTCTCTCCCAAAGGCTGTTAACCCCACTGAGGAAGTTTGTGTGAAAAATCTGCCTGTATTTCCCCAAGAAGACAAAAGCAAGCATATCCAGCTAATGCAAGGCCTAGACCGACTCAAAGCTGCAGATCTGTGTACAAAAATCTCCCTGAACTCCACTCAGGCTCCCTGAGGCCCACATGAGAGTATGGCCAGCATGGGCCAGTCCTGCCAGCAGCCCCAGCTGTGTGTGCTGAGGGAGGGGACCTCTGCCTCCACCACTCCACAACCCAGCTCACAGAGCAATGACAGGGAAAGGACAGAATAAGCATGATCAGAGGGCTCCTTGTTAGGTTAATACAGGAACTGATTTCTACAGCCTTATGATTAAGTTTGGCAACTCCGAATGATAGAGACTCAAACCAAAGCCAGGTTGCAAGTCACATTAAGCATTCCTGGTCACAGACACCAAGCCCCATTCAGGAAACAATTTGCCTGACTCTAGGGGCTCACCCTAGATCTGCCTTTATGTCACCTTTCTTGACTGTCACAAATTCTGGAACAAGCCACCACTCCTAAGTCCTAACTGAATCTCTTAATGACATCAAGTAACATGGCAGTAATCTCTACCACCACTCTCATGTCTCAGTTTTCTACTCTGGTGCAGCCTCCAAAGACAGACTGGCTTCTCACGTGCTCTTCACCCGCCCTCAGTCTTGCACCTCTGACACTCTTTACCAACAGCCTCATCTCCTGCTGCTCCTTAAGATCTACTCAGAGCCACCACTGCTCAGTGCCTTGGGCACATGACACCTTCCCTGCTGGGTAGGGGCTCCGCCTCGAGGGGAGAAGACAGAGTGTCAGGCTCGAAGGGGAGGTCCACAGCAGTGGCATGGACAGGGGCGCCGTCACAGTGAGGACCTGCTGTCTAATGCAGATGCCAATCCTCGCTCCACAGTAAAATGCCACCTTTACAGAGAGCTCCTTTTCAAGGTCACACTGCTGAGCTGCATGCCAAGAGTCAAACCAATATCTCACATCACCATGCCAAGTTATCACCACAGCCAGTTTTAGAGCCCATGTGGAAGGCAACTGAAATAGCCTGGAAAACCCCGGGCAAAACCGGCTGGCGAACCTGTGTGTCCACTCAAGGACACCCAGAGGCTGGAGACCTGTGCTCTAGCATCACTGTGTTCTAAACGTGAACCACCTCTCCTCCCCGTTTTCCTTACTTGTACGAGCAGCAGGCGCACCTTCATAGCCTTCTCTTCCTCTGACACACACATGCTTTCCTGCACCTCTTTGATTAATACATCTTCCTGTCACTGTCCCCAAAACTGCATTTCTTTAAAGACCGCTTGTGCACTCCAGAAAGAGCTTCTATTCTTGTAGGTTCAATTACTTCCTCAGCCCTGATGATCTCAGTAAACACCTTGAGCCTGACTTCTCAATCACCAAGTTTACAAGAATCTGCCCCGCTGCGCTGCCCCTTCCCTTCACTTTCTAGTTTCCTCTCAGTACATGACCACTCGACCTGGGGCTTGGGCTTCCACCTCCATCCTGTCTCCTGGGACACATGCTCCTTGCACTGTGAGGAAAGTCTCCCAACCCTGACATCCTTGTCACACACTGCCTAACACCCAGCTCTGGCCAAGCCAGATCCCTGTGTCTTTAAAATGTGCCAGGGACTTACCTCAGTGGCTCAAGCACTTGCCCAGTAAGCTCAAGATTGTGAGTTCAATCCCAGTACAAAAAAAACAAAAAAAGAAAACGTGCCCTAGCTTTTCCTTTGTTTCTGGTCTGCCTCCTCCACACTCCACTTTTATCCTAAATACAAACACTCTATACCTACTATACCCCTGGCTGCATCTCAGCTTTTCTGTACAATCAACCACCCGGCTCCCTCCTGATCTCCTAAGATGTGAATTCCAGTACCAAACACACGCACAGTCTCTACTCTCATATCTAACTTTTGTGTACATTTGTGCTTTGCCACTGACACTGTGAAATGCCTGAAGAAAAGATCTGGTATCACAATTCTTTGGGAATTCCCACCAGATCTAGCAGAGTGCTGAGTGGAAAGAGTTGGTATTCTTTGCTACTTACACAATCTCGGTCAGTCTGATTTGCCAGGGAAGAAAACCTAATGTGCTGTCCACAGGACCAAACTTCAATATTAAATCAGGATCAGGGAATTTATTAGCACCTTGGGAATAAAGGCATACACATGAAATTAATACACACTGCTTACACACACACACACACACACACACACACACACACACACAGTGATCACGTGCTGCATGATGGACCCATTCTCCTTAGGACTGTTACCTCTGTTTCCACGCGTCCTCACACTCCTTAACAGGTACTTTAGAGGCTATGTCCACTCCAAATGTGGACATTTACTCAGAAGTCCATGTCATTGGACTGATACTTGATAAGGAAAGACGATTTTTGCCCTAAATCCAGTGCACACCCCTCTAACACTCTCTCTGCTTTTTCAGCATGGGTGTTCTCTTGGCATCCTGGAAAGGCACCGCTCAGGGCATGACTATATGGGCCACAGACAACTTCAGAGAATACAAGAACCCGAGCAAATGTCCCCTAAGTCTGTCTCCTCACCTTCTCTCCCCAGGCCCGGATTCCCAGCTATGTGGTACAATGTTTTCCAGTCTTGCTAGAGCCCAAGTACCTTCAAAGGGGTACAGAAAGCTGTGTCCTAGACTCAGCAAGTACACACATACATTGTGTGTGTTATGAACCAGTTTCCATATAATATCCAGCTTTTGGGGAAGAGGTACACACATTTCAACTGCTTAAAAATAATGCAGGGGGTCTGGGGATTTAGCTCAGCGGCATAAGCGCCTGCCTTGAAAACAGGCAGTCGTGAGTTCGATCCCCGGTACCGATAAAAAGGAACAAGACAAAAAAAAAAAAAAAAATGCAGGAAGAGTCACTGGGGTAAGAGATGTGATACTCTAACCTAAGAAATCTGAGTTCTAGCAGTTCTGCCACAAACTTGTACATCACACAGTCTTCTCCAGGGCTCAGCTCCTTGTTAAGGAGGAGACAGGCTAGGCAGGCCTGTCTGCAGTAATATGGAGGTCCCCACATAATCTGGGTCGGCAGAGCAAAGGAAGCAAGCAGGTCACATGTTGCTCTGTTACCAAACAGCAATCCTCTTTAGTAAAAAATGTAGAAGAGACTTCTGATAATATTCATGTGCACAGAGTGACATATCCTCCCCTTACATGTTAACTGGGCAAAAACACCCATTAAAAGTTAATTATTTCTTTAAAAAGTAAATAAAAACTAGCTAGAGCTTCAGATAAAAAGAAAAAGAAAGGCAAGAGCCTATGGCAGCCTTGAATGAGATTTTACTACTAATCAACACAGAGAAATAGTTTTCCTAGCATAGGAGCCACAAAAAGAAAACAAAACAAAACTACTTGAATAGCTTCTCACTGCTGAAAGATATGGAATGAATTTTAAACTGGAAGTTGCAGCCTGGAGGAAGAGAACAACATGCAAATTCTCATAGGCTGCCAGCTATGAGATGGACACGCAATAGGGAAGAAAGGAAAACACGAAGTGTTATGGCCCAAGGCTACAGACCGAGGACGATTCGGGAAATAAGGGCACATAAAATTCCATATAGCCACACTGACAAGGGAAACTACTCACCTGTAAGGAGCTAGGGCCAGAGCAGGACTTGAGGCCACAGAGTGGCCAAAGCAGTTGCTGGATTTCCAGCTGTTGAAAAGCAAAGGCCAAAGAGACCTAAGAATATACTACAGCCTCACACAGGTGTCTGAGCATAACCAGTGTGCAAACCACCAATGACTACTATACTAGCAGTTACAGGAAACAGAATAAAAAACTGAATAAAGACAGCATCATCGTTATTTGTAGTAATATGATCTTTTTAGAAAATTCTGTTTTTACAAAAAAGTACTTCAACTGATAAGTGAATTTTAGCAAGAATATAAGACACAAAATCAGTATTAAAAATATTTGTATTTCCAAATGCTATCAATCTAAAAATAAAAGTAAGAAACTATACCATTAACAACAGGGTCAAAAAAATCTAAAATACTTAGGAGTACGTTTAGTAAAAGTAGAAATTTTAAACCATGAAATTATAAAATGTTGTGAGAAAAAAATCTGGACTCAAATAAATAGAGACTCAGATTAGAAGATTCACTATTATATAATGTGAATTTCTCCCAACTTGAGCTTCTGATTCACTTCAACTCATACAAGCAGAGATATAAAAGCAAAGGATATGAATATCCAAAACAATTTTAGAAAGAAGTAACTTGAAGCTGAAAGCTTTATACTATCTAATTTCAGAACTTACTATGTTACATTATAGTAATCAGGGCAAACTTTATGAAAAAAGTCTTCTCAACAAATAGTGACAGAAAAACAACTCGGATCTTTATCTCATATAATTTACAAAAGTTAAGTCAAATGGATTACAAGCCTAAATCTAACAGTAAAATCTATTAAAATTTCTAGATTGAAAACACAAGAAAAAAATTCATTGTGACTTTGGGTTAGGCAAAGATCTCTTAGATACGAATCCAAATACATGACCCATACAGAAAAAAAAAAAGGTAAAATGCAGTTTATAAAAATTAAAACACTAAGAAACAACAAAGTTACAGACCAGAACGTATTTGTAAATTGTACCTTACTGATAAAAAACATGCATCCAGACTATATAATACCTCTTGAAATTCAGTAGTGAAACAACTTATTAAATAAAAATGGGCAAAAGGGGCTGGGGATTTAGCTCAGTGGCATAAGCACCTGCCTTGCATGCAGGGGGTCGTGAGTTCAATCCCCGGTACCGATAAAAATGAAAAAGACAAAAAAAAAAAATCATATCAAAAATGGGCAAAAGATCTAAACAGACATTTCACCCAGGATGACAAATGAACACATGAAAAACATTCTCTAGTCATTAGGAAAATGTGAATTATAATGTCAAGAAAATACTACCATGCATACTAGAATGGTCAAAGTACATTAAAAAAGGAACACTAGGTAACAATACCAGAGAGGGCTACAAAAAAACAAAAAAAAAAACACATCTTATTTGGAAAGCAGTCTGGCAGTGTTTAAACCAAAAAGCACATCAACTGATGAATGGATAAACAAAATGCTGTCTAACCATAAACTACCACACAGCAATAAAAAGTAATGTGTTAACACTATTACATTCAACATAGATGAACAAACAACGGAAGGCATAGAAGATTACATATAATCTGATTCCTTTTACATAAAAGATCTAAAGAACACACAAGTGAGTCAGAAAGTAAACCAGTGTCTGCCTGGCGTGGGAGGCCGGGAGGCCTTGAATGCAGGGGGAAATCTTGGGAGTCACAGTGCAGGGCTGCTAGCTCTGTCAGACCCACAAGCTGGTGCAGTGACGTGTGAGTCCCATTTCAGGATAGACCTACAATCCTGTGCAAAATACCTGGGCTCAACACTTCAGCACTTTCCTCCAGGCTACCAAAGACCACCTGAGTGCCCCCACTTAGGGGTCTTCAGAATCCACTCTCTAGGTGGGCCTCAGAGTGCAGAAACAGTCACCATCCCAGCAACCACTGAGCAACACAGCCCCCATTGAGAGGAAAAACAGAAGTTAGGATCAGTGCAAGCAGGAATCAGAGAGATCAAGAGGCCCAAGGGGGACTGTCTCCCTTGACATTGACATAGGCAAAGATGCAGAGACTGAGGAGCCAAGTACACAACTGAGACAGGAAATGTCGAGGAGTAAACAAGATAAAGGACCGCTATGCATGAATGAAAGATCAGTGAATGTCCTGGCATCCTGTGGTGACGGGAGTTATCATGGATATACATGTGCTAGAAAGAGGATGGCGAAGGCTGTTAGCTAGCATGCCCACTGTTAGCTAGCATTGCCAGGCTGGAAGTGACTGTGGCAGAGAGCAAAGAGAAAGCTCATTTCACTGTAAGCAGAAAAGCAGGAAAAAAAGACAAACACCCCAATGACCAAGAAAAGTAAACTCTAGAAGGGAACCAAGAATTCCTCCCTTCCCCGGTGAGTATTTCCATTATTACAATTTAATATGCATTTCACACTACTTTTACAAAATAGTACACCATAAAGCTTTTATTATATATTAAATGTGAACTAAAAAATGTAAACACATGCATTGTTAATTGTAAATACAGATAAATAATGATGCAACAGATGAAGCATCTTATTCAGATGCAGCACATTGATTTTACATTATCTACCTACTGCTGCAAGGCAGAATAGTTTCTTGTCTGAATGTGTAACTCACTTGACTTGTGTTGATCTTTTTTACATATTTAATTTAAAAATGTTAAAATGTGAAAAAGAGAGAAAAGAATAATCCCAGTAAGAAGGACCATAAAGAGTGAAAAGTTCCCAAAGGAACTCTAGAGAGAATAAGGCTACAATAAACAGTGTTGAAAATACATATGCATAGTTATATTTTAGTATGACAAATATAGAGGTTTATTTGACATAGCATAACAGAATACTAAAAAGGGAGTACACAGGCCGGGTGTGGTGATGGCACTCCTGTAATTCCAGCACTCCAGAAGGCTGAGGCAGGAGGACTGCCAAGAGCTAGAAGCCAGCCTGGGTTACACAGCACAGTGAGACCCTGTCTTAAAAAGGAAGGGTTCAATCCCCAGTACAATCAAAGGGAAAAAAAGAAAGATGCTGATTATATTCTTGACATTGCTTTTAAGAAACTATTATGTTCACACTTAACAGAAAGTTCAAACTAAAAAGAAAGCACAGCGGGTGGGGGAAGAAGAAAAGGCTGATAAGCAAAAGTCCTATTTCTTTTTTTTTGTCTTCCTTTTTATCGGTACCAGGGATCAAACCCACGACTGCCTGCTTGCAAGGCAGGCGCTTATGCCGCTGAGCTAAATCCTCAGCCCCAAAAGTTCTGTTTCTAAGAACGTAATACTCACCACTGCAAAAAAACTCATGAACCTTTCCTTGGGCTGGGGATGTAGCTTAGTGATACAGTGTCTGCCTAGCACACCCAAGGTCCTAGGTCTGATCCCCAGACCCGGAGACACACACAAAGACCCTTTCTCTTGCCATTATGTCCTCAGCTAAGTTAGTATACTACAAATTTCACTATCTCAAAATCATTTTCATATGTGGATTTTTAAATTTCAGTACGATCAACAGTGTACCAACACAAACTAGGTTTTAGACTAGGAAAGGAAACATGCAGTAGGCATATTTTCATTCACACCGTGTCCTTGAGACAAACCAGACATGGATCTATGACTCACTAATCAAACTGTCCAACATGTCCACGTCCAGGTCCTCAGGCCTGTGCTGCTGCCCGGCGACCAGCCGGCAGAAGTCCTGAGCAGCTCGTACAACGTCGGCTTTCCCATCCTCGGGGGACAGCACCTTCACTGCCGAATGGCTATTTAAAACTGGAGCAAGAGGTGAACAAGACACTGTTAAAAACACCCTTCCAAACTGATTTGAAAATCAGTTTTAGCAGACACACAGTTCAAACCAGTAAAATAAGAGGTCCCAGAGTAAAGGAGCATCATAGCCTTCATTTTCAATACTGAAACATGTTCAGCTGTTTTCCTCTGAAAGAACCAATAAACCCCAGGCCACACTGACATGTGTATTTATATACTGCCACCTTTTTCAAGGGCTCAGAATGACTTGTATTGCGAACAAATCCTCCAGGAAATAGGAATTTCAGCTATATCCCAGCTGCCACATTTTACTCAACCAAAATTCCACATACAATCACAGCACAATTATTAACAAAGTGAAGACTTGAAAAAAAAAACTTTTACTGACTGGAACAACATTGTAAGTGGTGATTCTAGGTAACTGATACCAATGCAAAATTTTTACCTACACACATACAAATTCTTTCTAATCCAGAAGTTTCTACCCCTTTCCTAAATCAGTTTTGCCCCTATTTACATATTCATTTCCTGATCTATAAATACTGTTCGTTAAACTCTCTAATGACCCAGTTATAAAATCTGCCTATTGAAATAAAATCTTTAACATGTGTTCACTTTTTAATATCAATATAAATTATTTTATCTTTTAATGAAATTAACATGATAAAAAGAAAAAAAGTTGAACTCCAATGATAAATCATAACCAAAAAGACTAAAGAGTAAAATGAAAGGGAAAACCCTGAAGGAATATGCCCTGAAATGCACATTCACGCCCCACGCACGCTTACCTTGCTCATCTTTGTTATTACTATTTGCAAATTCTGGTGAATATTTGGAACAATCTAGGCCCAGAAGTTCCTGCTGTTGCTTTAGAATTTCGTCCATCAGTCTGGAATTATTTCTTTTGAAAATACCTTTAAAAATGAACAGTAAACAAGTAAATCATAACTAGGTTAATTTATCTCCTTGAATTACTAATGGATGCTCCATGCAAAAAGATCACTAGATCAGAACAGAACCTAAATAAAGCAATAATGACTAACCCTAAACTAGAACGTAAAAGGCAAATATGACAACATCATCTATTAACAGAAGAAGCTGACAAGGATAAATTACTTAGAGGCGATAGGAAAATGATGGAAATTTAGACCTGGAAAGGGATTTTAAGGGCTCATTTACTAGAAATTTTTATTTATAGATTAAGACACAAAATGCCCTCAGGGGCTTTCCCAACAATGATCTACTCCTGACTCCCAGTCTAACATATTTCTCTGTAGATATTCCCTGTCCATCAATACTGATTGCCTCATTTTGACTTTTTAATGAAAAACATGAATTATATTAAAAATAGACAAAACAAAACCAAAATTGAATAAATTCAAAGAGAAATAAAACAATAAACTAGTTTCTGATCCTCCAACCATGTAGAGAAAAGTTAACACTTTATCATCCTTGAGAACCATGAAACTTGAGGTGACATACATTTAATATAAATCTGATAGAACTCAAGATCTGAAAGTATTTTTAAAGAGACAGCTTCCCAGTGCCTGTCCTTTTTTCATCTTTATCAAGTGTTTATGCTATGTGCTCTCAGGCCTGACGGGATTCAGACACTGGGAAAAGAACACAGTGGAGTCGGGTATGCAGTGTGAGAGCCCAGAATCCACCACACACAAATATCAAGCAGTTGTGCGTGTCAACAGCAGTTTACGAAAGCAGGCTCCTTGTGTGGAAGGAGGTTTTGCAAAAGAAGATTTGAGCTGAGCTGAACTGAGAAAGTTAAAAAGAAAACGGAGAGACATTAAGTGGGGAAAATGCTTCAGAAAAAATGGAGTCTGCAACATTTGGAAGACAGAGAGAGGCTGCTGATGCAAAAGGTTTGAAAAACTCGATGTGGCATCCATTGAACATAAATCCACCTCTGTGTGAGGAAAGAAGGGGCTTGAATTTTTCAGACTGCCTAGCAAACAGGTAACCACCAATTTGTGGGTAAGCAGATGCATGGATGTGGATCTTTAGTCGCGGGTGTGAGCGCTGTATGCCCAGCAGCAGGGCAGTAGAGGAGTAAAAAGGAGGCTTCACTATGAGGAACAGCCACCCACGGGCCCTTGTCTCACTCAGGGCAACATCAGAATGTCCTGTCTCATGCCAGGTCACAGAATAACGACGTTAAGTGGGGAAATTCTATGAAAAGGACTGGTTTAAAGGAAAAGATGAGCTCAGTTTGGACTGCTGATGACAGTCACATGGGAGGGTGCTTCCAGGTAACCGAGAACCACCGAACACACAAGGCCTACAGACAGCTCTCTGCAGCAGCCTGGGCCTTCTCCACTCAGCTCGAGGCCTGGCCCAGCAGCTGGACATAGAGCAACACAGCAGGTGTGGTCTGCTTAAGAGAGGACCACCAGAGACTGACCAGGCACCCTCCTGGAAATGGTGCCATCCAGAAAGACAGGCCAATCAACACCCAGACAAAAAGGGGAAAGTGAATGGAAGCAGAGCAAGGTGGCAAGAAAGTATGTTTCCAATAGTAACCACAGGATTAAAGGGCAGTGGCTGTAACCAGGAGGTACCTGCACAGTGACACTAAAGATGGAGGATATAATCATTAGATTGAAATCAATAAAACCCACACATACGATAAAAGAAAAGCATATGCTGCTGCTCTGCTATATACAGACACATGCTACAGGCTTATAAATGCTACAAAATTTCCGATTATCTATGCAGGCACAGAAAAAGATAGACCATACATGCTATGGTACTATAGATACCAATTTTGCAAGCCCCCTGAATTTCAAAAATTTCTCAGTTTACCAAGAATTCCTCAATTTCAAGAGAAAAAGCTCCACCATGTTCCAGCTAAGACACAAGCTTATTACAAATAAAACGACCACATTCCCCACATAAACCACACTTGCTCACTCTGAGTGGCTCCACTCTGTGCTGTGTGAAGACCCTAGCTTCCCCTCCCGCCAGCTCACTCATCCTGATACAAGGAGAGCTCCACAGGAACCCAGGCCTCAGCACAAGATTCTCAGCCACTAAAACAGCTGCTGCCTCTCCTGCTCTCCTCTTTCCTGAGGGGATACTCCTTGTTCCCACCCTGCTTCCACCTCTGTCCTAGCTGTCTGAATGTCCTCCCCCACTTCCCACCACTGTGAAGCTCCTCTTCTGCGTCAGCCCTGCTGCCCATGTGCTCCTGAGCCCAGACATCTGCAGGACATCGTAAGAGCCATGACAAGCATAGAGGAGTGCAGCAAAATCTTGGGTGCAAATTTAAGATGCCAAAAATTAAAATAAATCACTTAATGTATTTTGCAAATAAAACATTAAAATTTTAAATGAAAGGAGGATCTTCATTTGGTCCTAATATCTCCAGTTCTTAACACTCCTAACTCCACCTCAAAGTTCTGCACACCTGTGGAGTGAACAAAGCCAACACAGGACAGGGCCTCTCTCAACGCATCAAGTTTAAAACAGACAGCAGCAAAGCTGAGAGTAAACCAGACACACGCACGCACACATGCACGCAAGCACACAGGGATGTGGTCCTGGAACGGACAGCAGTACATGTGGCAGGGCACAGCACAGGGGACTGGAACACAAACCCACTGCTAAGTTGTTCACAGAAACTAACCGGTACCTCAGAGCCCTGGCCTGCGTTGTTTCTAGCGTTCCTTCCAGAATCCTCAACCTCACTGTGGGAAACAACTCCAGAGACTCCCATTGAATGTAAAACAGTTACAGCGAGACTCATTTCCTTATACTGATATGTAAAAAGGTGGCCAGGGTATTTCCTTCTCCCTTCAACTGGCACTAAGCATTGCAAATACAGCTAGCTGAGGTGCTGGTATGTAATCTCTAAAGCCAACAGACAGTCCTGTTTCCTGAATAGTGTTCTCAGTACAGGATATGTACAGGATATGAATGCGTGAGATGTTAGAGCCAATAGCTCCCAGAATGTCAACTGGGTACAGCCTCAAGATAAAGAGGCTATGATTCCCCAGGGCACAAAAGTTTGCTTATCAGAAACCAAAGCCACAGCCTCCCAAAACAATTCCACTACGTTAATTAGATTATGTGAACTGATCCTTTTGTATATTTTTATCTCTGCTGGCTAGCCAGCTCAAATTATTCATGTAATTCCTGCCACCCTCACTGTCACTCATCCTTAAGCCACTCCCCTTCTTCACAAGATAATAAATTCTGGGAGAGGCCCAGGATCAAAGCCTTTGTCCCCTTGTCCTCATAAGGATTAGACTTAGGACCCCTTGGCTGCCCTTAACTTGGAATGTCTTGGTGTCTTTACTCCTGCTGTGGGTTGCATTGGTGGTGGTAGATTGGAATTAACTTGCTGGGATTCCAATAATGTCTCAATGGGATTACAAATACAACTTTTGGACTGTGAGGAAACCCCCCCCCCCCAAAAAAAAAGATTACAAAAAAGATGACTGAACTCGGTATTTCACATTACAATACTCAGCCTCTGTATGGCACTGTTTTCTCCACAGCTGTTACAGTCAGGACTTTCAAGGGAACAGATTTAACATAGGACATATTAATTTATAGGATTATTTGTAAGTCATCCACAGAGTCAAACGCAGAAGAGTGCAGGAAACCTGTCAATGCATTAAAGACCCAGAAATAACAGACTTAAGAAAAAACATTTTCGTTTTAAGGATATAAGAGGCATTATGGTAACCATTGTTGATAACCTTGTACTGTTTTTACATCATGTGCTATGTCTATCCTTGGTTTTGACTGACAGCTTTGTTTTATCATGCTTGATTTTATTCTCTTACAAAAAAAAAAAGTAATAAGATCTAAGGGAGCAATAAATCCCAAAATGTGTAAATGTTGTTGTAATAAAGAGAGGGAAAGAAAAAAACATTTGAAAATATTTACATAATACTGAGTTTCAGAAATGTTTTATTTCATCCTTTTACAGATTCAGAAACAGATCACGAAAGGTCAAGCAATTGTCTTTACAGACCTAAATATTTGATCTAAAAGCCCAATTCCCTGCCTTTAGTGTTCAATTCAGTAACTGCTTTTAACTCTCATAAAGGAATAATGCTAAACGTACTCTACTATTGAATTCTGAATGCCTCTCTTAAAAAAGAATGTACTATATTAAATAAAACTCATCTTCTTACAAGTCTCTTTTAAAAAAACACAAAAAAACCTAGGAATATGGCTTTATTTTTCCTTTCTAAAGGCTTTAAAAGCATTTGAGGTGTCAGGGGCGAATGGGTATTTTGTGAATGACCTAGGAATCTACAAAAGCCTTTGCGAAAATGGTTTCAGGAATTTCACATTATGTTTTGTTGTTCCGTCACATCTCATGAAATGCAATTTCCCAAATGTAAATACTATTAGATATCTATAGGAAAGACACACAGTATTATTCTAGGAAAACTATATACCTCAAACAGACTTAACAATGTTTTCGGTATTTTTTCCACAAAAATTTTGGAGGTCAATTGCAGGGTTTTCTACATTCTCAAACATTACTGATGGGAATTCAAACTTGGGCGGTTGCAATGGGGACCACAAGTGGCAGGTTTGGGATGTGTTTCACAAATAAGGTCACAGAGGCCAGTGTATTGATAGAACAAGTGTGGTGGAGTGGAAGAGAAGACTCTCAATATCTATGTTTCTTGCTTGAGCAACTGGAGAGAAGGTAGTAATATTTTATGACATTGGAAAAAAAATGATAGGGCATAGGTTGGAGAGAAAATACAAGAGTAATAGTTCAGACATGTTAGATATGAGATGTCCAGTAACAGACAAACGGCGATTTCAGGAGAGGAGCTGCAAACGCAAGTCTGATACTACAAAGCGATCAAGACTGGAGGTGCAAACTGCATCAGTACACAGCTAGCTGCTCCTGAAAGCCCTGGGCAGAGTG